TTCCTAAAAATAGCATAATGAATATTGCAATATGATTAACATATTGGCATGGGCTTTTAATACGGTACAATTCAACTTACCTCTTCCATGGGAATATTCTCCTGGACATCCGGTTGCCCCTCCATATAGCTGCTTCCCACTAGAGCTATTACCCGCTTCTCCAATTCGTTCGCGTCGATGTTCGACTTTTTAGGTCGCGCCAGACCTTTTGCAAAATAGAAACACACTTTCATACTTTACTATTCTTTGGTGTAGGCCGTTTTCGGAAATGCCTTACTGCAAAGCACCTCTCCTTATACTTAAGTATATAATGATGTCTGATTCCAGCAAACATATTTTTGGAATAAGAGGTGCGATGTTTTGCAGTAATGCATTTCCGGAAATGCCCGTACTTCATCACTTATACTTACATTTTGCCATTGCTCCACAGATTTGGCAGCCCCCCCAAGAGAATTCAATTTATCTGCCATCTCTGCCCACTTCTTGGTGTTCTCCAACTTGCCATGGAGCTTCTGGAACTTGCCGCTCGCCACATTCGGGTTTTCACCCAGAAAGTCAAGCATCGCGCTTAACTGCTCCCCCGATGCACGGCTCCTTTTCGTCGGCTGGATAGACATCCTGAAATAAAAGAAGTTCTAGTAAATTCCAATTAATAACTAAAATAACTAAATACTACCTTTTAAAATTGCAATACGTTGCTGGCGCTAAAAATTCCGTTTCCGCGGGAAGGAAATAAGTTTTTTTTCTTATTCCTCTTTGTACTTTTCGCATATTTGACATTTATCTCGACTGAGATGCCACATTTCATCATTTTAAATAAAAAGGAATAATCAGCTGTTTTTCGCTGTTAAGCAAGAGTTAGAGAATCACACAATTGTTAGTGCAAACGGCAAAAGTTGTTATGTAACCTAACAATTTTTTTATTGCTAAGAGTTACAGAATCGCACTACAGGTATTTTTGAGAGTACTAAGCACTTTCTTTCAATATGCACATGTTGGTAACATTTCCTTGTTTAGTGTAGAAATCTTGCAAGCTGGCAGCACTGTATTCAAATTAACAGATATATTAATCGCTAAACGTCAAATTAATAGCTAATTTTACTGAGTGCAAGTATTGTACTTGAAAACTATTAAAACTTCATATTGAGTACATCATTTCAGAATAGCGGTAAATGTAAATAAAACTGCGTACTTTAAAGTATCTATTCGACACTAAATACTGAGTACTTTGATCCGATCCTGAGTACATGTATCATAGTGATGACTGGACGAGAAAAATTTTCACTACTGCGGACTTTCGAGTTTTTTTAAGCTCTGAATAGATACTTTCGAATTCTTTTGTGAGTACTTAGTACTTTGGACTTACTCAGTATCGATACTTACAAAAATCGGGTGCTTTCGATACTACTGAGAATCGAGTTCTGAGTACTTTTGGAATCGATACTGCTCAACAATAGATATGTATATACATAAGATATTCAAAGTGGCAAGAAAACCATATAAATTCTGTCGAAAAGGTACCGAGAACTACTTCATAAAAATGTGGGGAGTTGTAATTCGATAAAATCCATCATATACATGCATATGTACATCAAAAAGTGAATTTTGAATTTTTTTTATTAGTTATGACATTTTCATCTCAGCGATGATATTTGTTACCATTTTTGTATTTCAGGTGAAGATACGTAGATACATTTCCTATCTAGTACATTTTTCTAACAAATAATCCAAACACCAGTTGAAAACGGTACACAATGAGACTACAGCGGACAAATATAGTAGAAACGCGCATTTATAGTACATATGTATGTATGTATGTATGTACAAAATAGTTTTAACTTGTTCGCTATCTAGTTAACGAAAACTTTTGCAATAATTTCGATATCTATCAATCACAGTAATCGACAAGTTAGTTATCTTAAGTGCCGACGGCCTGTGCCACGCGTGCTATGGATGACTGCACTCTCACGCGGTAGCAATCGTTTTGATAGCAAATGGGCTACGCAGATATGTAACGGGTGATTTTTTAAGAGCTTGATAACTTTTTTTTTATCTTTATTTGAAACGTTAGATTGGTCCATGACATTTACTTTTTGAAGATAATTTCATTTAAATGTTGACCGCGGCTGCGTCTTAGGTGGTCCATTCGGAAAGTCCAATTTTGGGCAACTTTTTCGAGCATTTCGGCCGGAATAGCCCGAATTTCTTCGGAAATGTTGTCTTCCAAAGCTGGAATAGTTGCTGGCTTATTTCTGTAGACTTTAGACTTGACGTAGCCCCACAAAAAATAGTCTAAAGGCGTCAAATCGCATGATCTTGGTGGCCAACTTACCGGNATAGGTCAAATGGCATACTCTCATAGAACGTTGGCAGCTGACTCGTACTTTTACAGTGATGCCAACCAGGGCAGAATTCCCCGATTGTGGTGGAATTTGAATTTCTCGGAGGAATCTGGGAATCGCTTTACATTTTGGGGGAATTCAATATACAGACGATTTTCATTGCAACATTCCTATTGAGAATTACCACTTGTCATACAGTGTTACGGCTTTAAAACGTAACTTAATTGCCTCAAGCAACCGTGTGATATTAAAAAAATTACCCCCGTGTATAGCCGCACTTTTCACTTGACGTTTATATTTGATACTATCATTTCTCACTTCGTTTGCGCCAAGCCAAACTGGCAAAGTTTTGGGCAGTCTAATAAGAGTAAGTACTTATCGCTATATAGATAATTTTTCCAATAAATTTAATTAAAAACTGCAATCAGACATTGGCTTGACACACATACAATGGAGGCAATTTTACTTACAAAACAACTATTTATAAAAAAAACCTCTCTTGATTTTAGTACGACTTGTAGACATTTACAAAAATTTCATCAAGAAATATGATTCTAACGAATAATCCATCTATGCTCGATATACATATGTACATACAGTGAACCAAATAAAAACTTGGACGCGACATTTTAGTCCGTTTTGGCTATTTTTCTTTACTTTATTTAAGGTTTATTATTTTTTTATGAAAGTATAGCTGATTGCTTAACAAACGCGATATTAATCCAAATTTCTGACTTTTTGCAAAAATTATGAAAGTTCTGTACAATTTGAACAAAACTTCTAACTTTTTAATCAGCAAATTTAGACAAAATTTTGGTATCCAGTTTTGTAGCCCATTTAATTTTAGTATAACAAAGTGCAAATTTTCGTTGATTTTTGGCAATTTTTTTTTTTTTTTTGTTGACAGTGTTCCGCTTTTTTTCGAATCAAAGTATGTATGTTCGACAATTCTGCTTTACGAAATATACTCAGGAGTATAAGTTTTATATATTATTTAAAGAGGTTGACCGTATTATGCCATTAGAATTAATGATATTTTTTGTTTTTTTAATAAAAATTAAAATGAAGTGCCTTAAATAGTATAAGTTATTTTGGGTGGGGGAATACCATTGAAAATAGGTGAATTTTTTTCAGGAATTTGGCGGAATCAGCCCTAATGGAGTTGGCATCACTGTGTACATATGTATGTATTGTACACCCATCAAACAAAAATTCTGCCATTTTATGAAAATATATGACTTTAGAAAAGGTCAGTAAAGCTTGGTACACATTGAAAATGATCTTACCACGCGGCACTACATTTATCTTTCATCTGGCGTAACAAAACCTTTTGTCTAGGACGATATGATTATTTTGAATGGCGGCGACACCATGAATTTATATGCGTTTGACAAAAAAGAAGATACAAAACCGTATCTGTCGTTCACAAAATACAAATACATAGATCTACTCTGGCTACAACCGCAATTTCAACTAGCCGATAAGATAAGTTGACAATGCTCTCATTGCAATATTTTCGCCGATGATTGGTCTCCGTTAACAGGTTTATGGCGTGGACCTCCGTTTGGAAGACATACCTTTGGAAGTTTACCTGCTTAAACCGGGGGCCTTGATTTGTGTATAAAAATGCCAGTGTCTATGCCTTGGAGGTGTATTCTTAGTGCGTACCAGCCTCGTTCCAACTTCCCAAGTTCACTAGTTCTATTTATATAGAAGTTCCTTAATTGAGTCATGAGTAGTCACTTTCCAAAATTAATTATAAAATATTCTACAAACAGGGTTTCCGGATCATTGCAATTTCGAGTAATTTTGTTTGATGGGTAACTAACTCCCAACTACACAATCATCTATTTAACTGAACGTTCTGTCGCAGACAAGCCTGGCCAAGCGCCGTCATATCGACCTTGGAGCGCAGCTGTATGCGACTCAAAATTTAATTTATAACTTCGCAAAAAGAAATTGGATTAATCGCTTTAAAGTAATCAATTGGCAGCGTGTAGAATGGGCAATGTTCCTCTTCGTTAGTACCCACTGCACGGATTGCTAATGGTCTTCTCAAGATATCCTTTTGCGAATTTACAGTGTGGTCTCAACAACAAACATTAGAAGCAACGCTACGCTCATGCAAAAATTAATGTCGAAATGTATAGCTGCATATTAGGGTGAACCGAAAAACCGATATTTTAGAATTTTTATTAGTTATAGCAGAAATATGGTTAAATTTGCTCTAAGAAAATCTTTGGAAAATATGAAAATTTTCGGTAAATATCTTAGGCTCGCCTATGTCAATCAAAGTTTAAAGTGTTCAAAGAATTTTTTTCTTAACTTACCTCCTTAAACATCTATAGTTTGATTCCTATATTCCGATATTTAATTTAACTTATCAATTAAGTTAAATTAAAATTTTCAAACAGATGGCAATTTTCCACAAATCGATTTTCTCAAGCCTTCTAAACTTTATTCTTTTGACAGCCATGTTGCAATATTTACTTTATCTTATCAATTTACTTAAAGTTCAATTTTCAAACAGGTGGCAACTCATTCTCTAATATTTTGTTTCTATACTTTAAGTTAGACCTCTAGCAATATATCGATGGAAACTGAATTAAATGCAATGCATTAGTTTTCGAGTGATGTGTGTACAAATATACAGACATAAAGACAAAAATTCTAAAAATTGTTGATTTGGCTTGTTTTGCTCTCTTTCTCTTTAATATATATAAGGTACAGACATCGGCCTGTTGTAATTTTATACTTCATTCTTGGACATAAACACAGTATTTTTTTAATAAAATTGCAATTTAATCGAAACTATCAGTCCTGCAGAAATTGTATATAACCTTTTTTGTAGAGAATAGATTTTCAGCCCACCCTACTGTACATACTGATAAATATGCATACTGGAAATTACACCAATAGATTTTTTTAAGAGAAAACATTCATAGCCTTACATAGTAAGCACTTTCGTCTAGTTTGAAACATAAAATTTATACAAAATAACATTTTAACATTTAAGAAAACTTAAATAAGGCATATTTCCTACAGCGAATATGCAATGAGATAATAAGCGACGAACACTTTCAGCCAACTGGCGCCAAAACTGACGATTGGCATCAATGCAAACGGCGCCATTTGACAAATTTAAACTTTACGGGAGAAAAAAAAATCTTTGAATTTCCAGTGGGAATACTTGCTTAACAGCGGTAAAGGGTAGCATCCAGCTCTCAAGAAAAACAAAAAAAATTGGCAAAGGAAAGGTATTTATTCCAAGCAATAAAAATAATTAAAGATATTTCTTTTGATTGTTTTTGAGGACTGAAAACTGAGCCTTAAGACGCAGAATCTTTTTATGGCCATCAAACTCTATTTTAAGTATGAAATTAAAGTTTATTTTAGTTAACAAAGTGCAGTGATTGGCTTTTTTTTTTTTTTTGATATTTCATATGTACATATACGGCACATTTGTGAAACCTTCGATTCTTTCACACTCGCACACCAATTTCACCAGGACTCATGATCTTTACATTCCTGTCGTTGACTTTGTACAAAACTTCCTTGCGTACTATCTCCAAATCGTAACCGCCATTCGCCAGCACTTCCTCCA